GAGGGAGCTTGCCCCCCTTGACGACGGCGGTCCACAGCCTCGCCAGCTTGTCGAAGAAGTCCAGAGGAAGCGCCGCAACCAGCTCGCCCGTCCAGCCATCAAGTCCCCCCGCCTTGCGCTTTGCCCTGCGCGCCCGCCGCCTCAAGAGGTGGCCATCGAAGTGGACTTCGCGCACCGCAGCCGGAGAAGCGGGCCCCAAACTGTCCAAGAAGCCACGCAGGCGCTCCGTGCCAAAGCCGGCCGCCTCGCCCCAGAGCTGGTCCAGTGCTCATGAGGTCCTCAAGCGCTCGGCCGCTGCTCCCTTGCTCGGGCTTTCGCCCAACTGGCCTACCTTGCACACCTCGTTGGTGACCTGAGCCGTGATCCACCTTGCCATGGCCCCGACGTCGTCCTGGATGTCGTGCTTCCACCTCCGAATGCGCGCTGCACGGGCACGCTGTGCCTCATCCTCCGCCCTGTCGTTGAGGTAGCCCGCCACGTGGTCAAAGCCGTCAGCCCGCGGCAAGTCTCCAGCTCATCAAGGTCGCGATCCAGCTTCGCTCGGAGCTTGGCATCGCCATTCCTGGCTGCCTCCGACGCCCTCCGGGCAACTCTCCGGAGCCGCCGCTCGAGCAGCGTTTGGAGCTCCTTGGCGCGGGTCTGGCGCCGCTCCTGTATGACCGGTCGGCCCGGCAAAGCCCGGGGTCGAGCAGGCCGAGCGTGTTCCTCCGCCATAGCGTTCTCCGCGGCCTGGGACAGCAGCTGCCACGCTCTGTCCAGGTCGAGGGGCTCCACAGCCTCGTCAAAGCCAGCCGCAAAGTCAGCCCAGCCCGCCTCCCAGTCGGCCGGCTCCTTCGCCACCAGTCGGCGCTGCGGCTGCCACCTCCGTGTGTCCTCCTCCAGGTAGGCACGAAGCTGGTAGGTAACCAGGTCGTGGTCTGCCACGCCCAGGAGCTGCACCCTGCCTTCCACCAAAAGTCGCGGCGAAGCCAGACCAAAGTCAATGTGCCCCTTGAAGCTGTTCCCCATCCATGGTCCAAACGGCTCCTCTAGCCAGGAGGCCAGCCAAGGGGTACGAGTCCTCGGTCCGGTTCCAGTCGCCCAGCAGCACGAACTCCTCCCCGTGTTGCGCGCCCATTGTATTGCCTCCTGCGCAATGTGGTTGCCAGGGACCTTGTCGCCGGCAGGCAGGTAGATGTTCAGCACGAGGAGTGGCCGGAGGCCCGCCCGCCCCACTTT